GGATCAAGGTTACTAAGAGATAGAAAAACAAGGAGTGAAAGAGGGAAGGAAGGAAGGAAGGAAGGAAGGAAGGAAGGAAGGAAGGAAGGAAAAAATAAGCTTCAAGCTTGGGAAATATCTTTTCCCATTTCCGACCACTTCATTCCCTAGAGTATCATTTTTTTGTTTAACGGTTGCACATGAGAAGACACATGAATATGGATACAACTCAAACAAAGAATCTTATTCCCAAGAGAATGACAAGTGGTCTGAAATGGGCAAACATAGCACCCAAGGTAAAGAGGTCTATCATTGTCAATACTTTTTACATACATGTACGTACAGTGCCTATCATGGAAGTCTTACCTTTAAATATAATCTTTTGATGATCTTTGGGTACTTTAGTTAGCTTTTCTGCTATCTCAGCTAATTTCTCTACTGTAGGGTCTTCATCTTTATTTACTGGTAAAGATACTGGGTGTTTAGCTGAATCTACGGTATGAGAGAAAGAAAAGTGATGGGACTGTCAAATAAATATAAAATTTTCGATAGTCTAAACTATCAAGAGTTTTCACGCAATACTTGCAGATACTTTGCGCTTTTCGAAGAACAATTCATACTCTATTTATGATTCTTTTCTTGGGTTGAAAATAAATACATAGACTTTTTCATTTAAAAAAAATTCTCAGAGTTTGAGCTCAGTAGAAAAACTAAAAATTTAAAGTTCTGAAAACGTCCACGGGTTTTTCAACATAAATTACAAATAAATTAATGAAAAAATGAATAAAACACGAAATAAAAATGCACTATTTAAATATACAAGCTAAATAATTATTTAGAGTTTTGGTTTTGGTTTTTAAGGATGCAAAACATCGCACTTTTACCATGAATTAACGTGAATTCTAAAACTTCTCCGTCCGCCATGTTGGATGTATTAATTACTCATGCGTAGAATGAAAGACCACTGACCAGTATATGTTTTACCCATCATGCCTTTCGTTTACCTTGGATATCATTGAAATTTATAACCAAAGTTTATTTGTATTATTAATATTTGTTGAGGTTTTAGGATGAGGAAGTTGATGAGACCTCTACTGGCAGCTTTGTGTGTGAGTGGAGGAGGTATCTTAGGGGTGATGCATGAAAGGTAATATAAATAATACGCCATTTTTATAAAATCATTATATGCAAGCCATGACGTCTGGATTTTTGGCTTCCATCAATAAATAATACTCAGTGAATATTTGATTGACAGATGCCAAAGTCCAACCGTCTCCGATTTAAGCCAATCTTATTGGTAGCATTATTATGTTAATAAGTAGTATTCTTGGGGTGCACATTACATCATAGAGGCCATGTTGGTTGACTATACAAAACAACATATACAACCAAGACGGCAGCTGTTTCTTTGTAAGTTGTTTATATCTCAAGGGATTTTTCAGTCATGTAGTTGCACCCCAAGAATATCTCATACCAATTTAAAAATTATGTACTGTTTAATAAATGAGTAGGAGTGTTTTATCAGGTATAAAAGCACGAGGTGTAGCCGAGTGCTTTTATACCTGATAAAACACGATCTACGAGTTTTTTGAACTGCTTAAATCACTCATGAACAATTTATAAGATTTTGGTTCAACTGGAG